GTGCCGCTATTGATGGGGTCACTGACAATCCCTCCCACCCTGTACAGTCTATGGTGCAGCTACCTCTAGACACGATCGCAGTCCAGCGATCATCTTATGTGTATAGGTATGTGAAGCCCATCCCCAGTCATAAAAATGAATGGACTTTTCCCAGCTATCAAACATGGATTCCTGAGCAGATCCGGAGGGATCACCTCTATGTGAATGTGTCACATGTAATGGGAGCCGGCGAGGGGGGTTCTGGGAAGTACCCCAGCTCCTCTGGACGGCTCCCTGCAAGGTGAGAGGAAAGGGATTATCGCAATGTCAGCTCAGAGGGGTGGGGAGATGACCCATGTGCAGAACAAACAAGACTCGGCTAGGCTGCTCCCTCCTGCAGATGGAAGGGCTGTTACATGACATACGAGCTCACAGCCTTCTCCTCTCCCTATACGGCGGCTCCGGAGCCTCTTCTTACCTTGGCCCCGAGGATACGAGCGCACAGGCGTCCAGCGGTGATGAGTGACATTGTCAGAGTCTCGGTAGGAGTTCGGTGTGCGTGGCTGGGACGAAGGAGAACGCCGTCACTGGACCAGGAGCTGCTGCAGCTTCTTACTGATACCGGCAAAGCCGAAGGCGCCTGGAAGGCCGGAGCCGGGACAAGGTTGAAGAGGAGGATTCGTGCCCGCCCCCTGCTGGATGACGTCACGGGCCGCTGTCAGCACGCATTCGCGCAACAGCGCCATCTTACTAGCGGCGACCAGATTGACCTCTGTGGTGCCATTTCAATTACAAAAGGGGTTGTGTCTCGCGCAGTAAGACGCATGCGCAGTTCGTGCGTCCTGTCACTAAACGTCACGTGTCATTCCTCCGTACAAGGGCAAGATAGGGCGTCTTGTCAGCTGGTCGTTTCTGGCATATTTACAATAATAGTAGATAATAAGTCGCTAAGTACTTCATTGCAATAATCGAGAAGTATCCCAGACATTTACTATTACTTTATTAGCATAGACACGCCCCCTAGCGAGTGCAGCGCCTGATCTAGGACGGTTGCAGGCTCAGTCTATGATTGGGTGTGGGGTTGTAGCTGGGCGGGGCTTTCGATAAGAGGTTGAAGGGCGGGAAAGCAGAAGTCACATTATGAAGTAATTGTATAGCCAATAGCCATATTAGGGTAATAATGAACAAAGTTGCATAGAAACAGGTCCTATGTCTTGTATAATGGCCATTGCTCTCTGTGTGAGGGCACTTCTATTTTCTGAGTGTAGGTGACACACAAGGACCCTTTAGTCAGTTGTGGACCTAATAACCAAAGCGCGGGAGTGGATCACACTGGCCCCCGCTCCCCCAGCGGTCTCTAATGTTGCAGTAGCTTGCTGGACTTACCTGAGACCCTGCAGAGCACACCATAGATCCTGCATAGCCCACCTGAGACTCTCTATGGTGGGCTCTGCAGGGTCCCTGGTCGTCGGGATGCCGCCCCGGTACAGTTGATACCCATGTAAGAGGCCCCCCAGACCCCTCACATGGGTACGGGCCATACCCCCTGATGGCGGTGTTCTATCAAAGGTTGTGACTACGTTAGAATGTGTGACCGGTGACGTAATCCCGCCCATTTTTTCCGCGGTGGAATGTTCACTCTGAGCCAGTCACACTGTTATTATTATACATTTATATAGCTCTAACATATATATACCGCAATGATGTACAGAGAACACTGAGCCCGTCACATCAGTCTCTGTAAAGAGGAGCTTACACTCTAATGTCCACCCTTAGTCACATCAGTCTCTGTACAGAGGAGCTTACACTCTAATGCCCACCCTTAGTCATATCAGTCTCTGTACAGAGGAGCTTACACGCTAATGTCCCCTCCCCCACAGTCACATCAGTCTCTGTACAGAGGAGCTTACACTTTAATGTCCACCCTTAGTCACATCAGTCTCTGTACAGAGGAGCTTACACTCTAATGTCCCCTCCCCCACAGTCACATCAGTCTCTGTACAGAGGAGCTTACACTCTAATCACCTGCTGGACACAGGGCTTCGTCACCCGCTGGACTCAGGGCTTTGTGACGCGCTGGACACTAGACATGTGCACCGGCAAAAAAAATGTTTGGTTTCATCTTGTTTTGATTCAGATAATTTTTTTTCGGGATTCGGACGAAATTCGTTAGCAGTAGTCTGTACGAATGTTCATTTCCGTTTCATGTTCGTATCGTTCGTTTCATTGCAGCATTGCAAAGTGACATTCAAATATTTTTTTAAATTGTCACTTTGTTGCAATGAAAATTCGTTGACAAACGAAAATGCGTACAGATTACCGCTAACGAATTTCGTCCAGAAAACTAATTTTTCCAAAACTAATCACACATGTCTACTGGACGCAGGGCTTAGGGTTAGTTCACACCATAAGCTGTGCGTTCCGCTCCGATTCTGGCCAGAACGCACAGCCCGCATTGCGGCGGGCTCATTTTTTGGCAGGGCTGGAGGGGGCATGGTGGGCCTTTGAAGTGATTGGCACCGTAGCCACCCCTCAGGCTGCAATGCAATCGCCCACACGGGATAGCAAGGCACATTGTGCCTGCGGTGTGTTTGGGTGCGGTGCGATCAAAATAGTGCTTGCAGCACCTCACCCAAACGCACTGCAGGCACAATGTGCCTTTTTGATCCCGTGGGGGCGATCACATTGCGGCCGGAGGGCGTGGCTACAGCACCCTTCACTTCAATGGCCTGCCAGGCCCCCTCCTGGCCGGCCAAAAAGTGAGCCGGCCACGATGCACTGCGTTCCGGCCGGAACGCACTGCAAGTGGTGTGAACAGGCCTTAAAACAGTACCAAGAACATGGCTGCAGCAGCAGCCATTTTCTTGGTATAACCACTTTCAGCGGAGGACGTACATTTATGTTAACCCGCGGGAAGTGGTTAAAAAAAAACACACATGTAATGAAACACACACATCACACACTCATTAAAAACACAGACACACTTAGCTTCATTAATGTAAAAAAAAAAAATCACACACACACATTAAAAAAACACACACACAACTAATAACAATAGTTACTTAAAACATGTCCCCCTCTCCTGCTTACCTGTTTTGCAGGAAGGGGGGCTGCATTCCTGGGGTCCAGTGTGGCACTTAGATTAGTGAAGGATCAGTGTGATCTGCATCTCAGGCTGATGCAGACCATACTAATCAATCCTTGCCAATCAGCGGCGGCACCACATGGGAGCGATCAGTATGATCTGCATCAGCAAGAGATGCAGATCATGCTGATTCCCCGCTGGACCACCAGGGAATGATTTTCATTTAATATATTGCCGTTTCTGTAATATATTAAATGAGATGTGGGCACTTGCCAGGTTTAAAAACCTAATGTGCAGTCAATCACAGACAGGCCCCGGCTTCCTCCGATGCTGCGGGGGCCGGGCCGCCTCTACCCACTGCCAGGCAACTGTACGGCCGTCGGCCGATATTCATGTAAGGTTCACGGGCCCCTCACGCGGCCCGGGCCCCTTACTTGACTATTGGCCGTACCCCCCTGACGGCGGCCCTGAGGGCAGATTGGTTCTACTGCACATGCGATTTGCGATGCCGATCTGCCCTGGAACAACGGAGAAAGCGTTGGAATTCTTCACCAATTCCACCGCCGAAAAACTGGGCGAGATTACGTTAAAATGTGTGACCACGTTACTGGTCACACATTCTAACGTAGTCTCAAACTTTGATAGATCACATGCCTACCTGTAATCATTTAATCAGAGAAATAGATTATAATGGGGAACATTACAGTGTAATATTCCCCATTATAATCCACTTGTCTAATTACATGAAAAAGCAGTACACAACCATCCAACAAAGCCCCCCTAACCCCCGGCGCTCGGACTTACCCAGCCAGAGGACCGCAGCCAGGGAGTTTCGATGTGTGCACTGCAGGGGGCGGGGCTTGTGACACACACCCGCCTCCTGTGACTCACCTCCCCTCCCGCCGCCTGTTACTATGGACGCAGCCGGAGGGGAGGTGAGTCACAGGACCCGCCCCCTCACTGAGAAGCCCGTCGGCAGTGCGGGGCCCCGGTGTTCGAACACCGGGATTGTGCACTGCCCCATATTGCAGGACCGGATCCCACTTAAGCTGTGGGGGAGCCCAGGATCGGACCCCACTGGGCCCCCCCACAGCCTCGGGCCCCCCCACAGCCTCAGGCCCCGGCGGTAGTTTCGCCACTGCCTTTAGTGTAGTGCTTTTCAACCTGCCAGGTAGAGGGGACCCCAACTGTGACACCTGACAGCTCCAAAGGGCCACACATAATATTTAGTATATGACAGAAGACTGTACCAGACTTCACACATACAAGAGGAGACTGTCAGAGACTACAGACATGCAACATCCATGGTTGGAGACTAGGGCTGCAACTAATGATTATTTTCATATTCGATTAGTTGGCCAATAATTATTTTGATTAATCGGATTTAAAAAAAAATCTTTTTTTTAACCACTTGCTGACTGGGGTGTTTACTGCCCCTTCCTGGCCAGGCCATTTTTCAGTATTCAGCTCTGTGGTACTTTGACTGACATTTATTCCGTCATGCAACGCTGTACTGAAATCAATTTAATATCATTTTTTGGGGACACGTAGAACTTTCTTTTGGTGTTATTTAATCACCACTGCGGTTTTTATTTTTTACTATATAATGAAAAAAGTACCCAAAATTTCGAGGAAAAAAACTTTTCCCCCTACGTTATGTTATAAAACAATTATTATTACCCACATTTTTTGCAAAATATAAAAGACGGGGTCACGTCGGGTAAATAGACACCAAACATATCAAGCTTTAAAATTGCGCGCGCCCGCGAACTCGCAAAAACTACAATACTCAAAATTGGCCATAGGCGACACTTTAAAAGCTTTTACCGCTCATCAGTTTAGTGTTATCAGTGATTAATGGGCCGAAAATTATTGCTCACACTCTGATGTTCGCAAGCAATGCATGTTTGCATGTGTATGTGGGGGGCTGGGGACTTTAAAAAATTTTTGTATTACCTTTATATGTGACTTTTAATTTTTGTATATATTTTTTGTAACTTATCCTTTTAAACCTTTTTTTTTCACTTATCTTTATTGCTATCACATAGAGGACTAACAAGCCCCCTTTGTGATAGCCAATTTCAGGGGTCTTTAAGACCCCTAATGTCACCTAGGGCCCCCCAGAGAAGCTGATGAAGCAAACACCTGCTTCACCAGCTTCTCTTCGGTTTCTGTACCGGAGAGTGACAGAGGAATGCGGAAGTGATGTAATACACATCACTTCCTGCATTCCAAAGAGGAGGAGGAGATCAAACGGAGACCGTGTACTGAACTCCGTTTGATCTCTGGTCGCAGAGCTGCTGTGCTGGTCCCGGGCTCTCACCTGGGCACAGTGGAGCTCGGGATCGCCTGCAGCGGCTGCAATGGGGAGGCGCAAACCCGCATGCATATTAGAAGCGATCTGGCGTCTCTACAGACGCCCGAATGCTTGTATGTCGCTGGCTGTTTACAGTCTAGCGGCGGGCACGAGCGGGGCAGGATGGAACGTTTAAAAACGCCCACCCGCATTCAAGAAGCCGCTATCCGGCCATTTAATTACAACGACCAGACAGCATGTGGTTAAAATAAAATACACAAATGCAGTGTTACAAGCATCAAATTTACTTCAGAATAAAACGGCATGCACATTTTTTGCAATTGCACCGCACATTTCAGTGCAGGCGATCACACTGCGGGAGTGAGGCGCGTTTGGGGTGCCACTGAACTGACTGGCACTGCAATACACTGCAGTAATAGAGTTACAATTATCCCCTGCTAAGATGAATAGGTTAAATCATGATCCATAGTACATAACATGTAGTTGCACTAAGGATCATTTAACCCATTCATATTAGCAGTGCAGAATTGTAAATCTACTGCAGTGCATTCTATACGTAGCACATATACAGTACATATAGAATGCACTGCAGCAATAGATAGTTTTTTGTGTGAACAAGAAGAAACAGTGAGTAAGCCGCCTTACTCACTGTTGCCTCGATCGCAGTGCCTCAGGACGTCGTCGGCGCTGAGCTGGAGAGAAGCGTCACGCCACTGCTGCTCCGGTGGGCGGCGCTCCAGGTGGGGTCCTAATTTAGGTGGCCGGCAAGTGCCTGGAGCACCGCCCACCGGAGCAGCAGTGACGCGACGCTCGACACGGCGCGGTAAGTAAAAAAACAACGCAAGCTTCGGCGCTTTGTATCGGGGCATTTTGACAAGTACAAGTGCTCGTCAAAATGCCCTGTATCGGTCCCGATACCGATGCTAGCTTCAGTATCGGGAAATCCCTAGTTAATACTTACCTGCGTCCTCCCCGCGCGCTCCCGTCTGAAAATGTGAAAATTCTCGGGCGGCCGCAAAGCATCTTGGGGAGGGCGCATGCGCAGTTCACATTTTTGGCCGGGACTTGAAGAGAGACACAAGGTAAGTCTATGGACGCGTGCACCCGCATGCAGACACCGTGGGACAGGAAGTGACAGCAAGCTCAGAGGAGTCAGCGCTGGATCGGAGACCCGCCGCAGTGCTGGAGGGACAGATGAAAACAACAGGAAAGAAGACGATCGGATTAAGAAACATCATTTAAGGTAAGTGCTTTCATTAACATTGGGGGAGGTAAAAACATTTTTGACCTAAATGTCACTTTAAAGGAGAACTATGGGGTTATGGGGTCAGTGTCTTTCCCCATAGTTCTCCTTAGGGTAACGGGAGGACACAAACTAGCATCCTCCCGTTACCCTAAGCTCAGTATGCCGCGAGCTACAGCTCGCGGTATACTGAGACGCCGCAGCCGGAGCGGATCCCGACGTAGATGACGGGATCCGCCCAGCTGCGTGAGTGACAGCTGGCTCTGCCTATCTAGAGGCAGAGACAGCTGTACCCGCCCACCTCCCCCGTCCGTTCCGCCAGTCAGCGCTGGCAGATCGGAGCGGGGAGAGGGGAATCCAGCCCGGTCAGGATCGAGAGGTGAGCGAACCTGGTATGTGTTCGCTCACCTCCCGATCTACTGAGCCGACCTGTGACAGTCTCATTGTCACAGGTCGGCTAGAACTATGAGGTGAGTGAAAATCACTCATCTCATAGTTCTCCTTTAAGCTGGCCATACACCAGTAGAATTGTGTTTGAAAAAAATGAATTTCGGAAAGTTGTTTTGATCTTGTAATCATTAACGGGCATAAATCAACTATTGATTTTGACCGCAGTGATGAAAAAAATCGAAGGAGCAAGATGCAAAATGTGTTGTGGAATGAAAGAAATTGAAGAGTGAATGTGGTTTTCATCTGAAAAACGTAATTCATTCCAATATCAAATGGTAAAATCAAACAGAATTTGGAATGACGTTTGTCAAGTCCCTGGTGGCATTATCAAATTTCCTGACAAGATTTTTCATACGCTCATTTTATAAAAATCCAACAGTGTATGGCCAGCCTTATCCCATTATATCTAGACACTTGTCAGTCTACTACAGAGTGTGATGGACTATTGTTACTTGGTGTGACAGGTGAGTTATTCAGTGACTTTCACTGTTGTGACTACTGTTGCCAAGGAATGAGTAACTGTGTGTTCTCAGGGACCTAGTGACAGATCAGTTATTACTAGAGGTGCACCGAAATAGAAATTTAAAAACCAAAATAACAAAAATTGTCAGACCGAAACCGAAAATGTTTTTATTTTAATTTTTTTTAAATATTTAATTTTTTATAAACTTTTACATTTTTTTATATTTATTTTTATTTATTCATTTTTTTTTATTAAATATTTTCATTTTTTACATTACTTTTAGGGGCTTCGGGGAAATATTAGGGGTCTAAACAGACCCCTGATATTTCCCTTTTAAAATAGAAAAAGAGATTGGGGACACAAAGTCCTCCTATCTCTTTTTCTGTATCCCTGTTATCCCTGTTATCAATGAACAGGAATCCTCTATGAGTGTTCATTCATAACTTGAGAACATAGTGTGTTTACTATAACCACCATTATGAATGAACAGGAGGGGATATAGATCCCATTCATTCATAATTGAGGATATATTAACCATACCATATCCTCAATTATCTACAAACACTCAGCGATCACTGAGTGTATGTAGCCTGCTCTCATCTCTGACACGCTGTCACAGGAGGCTGAGCGAGTGGTGCGAGAGGAGAGCCCAGCCACCTGTGACAGCGCTGTCTCCGCCCCCACACCGCTCGTCCGCACTGTGATAGGCGGCCGAGCGGTGTGTCTTGCACGTCAGTTTGTGAGAGCTCGCATGGCGGAGCGTGGTGAGATGAAAAATGTCCTCTTTAGCCAATCAGCTTGCACATATAAACCCATGTGCAAAGTAAATTGAGTTGTCGAGCTGGAGATGAAGACGAAGTCTTTCATCTGGTCACGCTAAGTTACTCAAGTTCTTCCACACTGCATGTGAATGTCCACACCTTGCAGGTTTGCTTTGCTGCTCGCGGCTTCCAATTCAGTGTGCCATGGGCTTTTCTCGGCCTTAGTCATAGCTATGACAGTAGTAAAAATAATTTGCCTTTGGCTTATTTTGTCTTAATTGAACAAACCATTCGCTACAGACTTTTCAGTGCCAGAAAACACCTTATTTATATTTTTCTGAATTATTATCAATATGTTGTTTAGTTTTGCTTTAAAAAAGTCTGTATACTAAAGCTGGCTATACACTGGTTGAAGTCCTGCTGACTTGGCCAAAATCCGATCAGGGTATGCCTCAGTCAGCACACCTCCATTCGACAAAATAATAAAGTCACCGTCACTCCAAATATTCAAGTCAATACGTTTATTGACCCAAATGAAAACACCTCTAGCAACGTTTCGGGACCATGCAGCCCCTTCCTCAGGCAAACTTCCTGAGGAAGGGGCCGCATGGTCCCGAAACGTTGCTAGAGGTGTTTTCACTTGGGTCAATAAACTTATTGACTTGAATACTTGAAGTGCCGGTGACGTTATTATTTTGTACGTTTTTGATGGAGGCATCCGTTGTTGCTGCTGCACCCGGTCTGCTGCATGGGCACTTTCCGGTCAGGAGTGCGATGGGATACTTGGACTTTTGTCCATTCGACAAAAGTCGATTTTTCAATGAACTTCTGTTGATGGAGCTGGTCTGAAAATTCTCTGCCGAACAGACGCTGCAACCACTGTTCGGGTATTCTGACAGCGGCACATTCAGTGCTACCAGAATACAATGGCTTGGCAGGGGGATTTCTCCATCCACACTGTTAGAGTAGGTGGGGGAAGCAAGAGTTTCTTTCTTGTTCATCCTGCAGGGCTGAACAAGAAAAACTCACAGTGTATGGCCAGCTTTAGATACAAGATTTGTTGACACTAGAAATACTCTGACAGCTGCTTTCCCACCATTTCATTGCTTGTCTCTCTTCCCATCCCCCAGCACAATCCGGATAGTTCTGCTGAAGCACCAGCCTGACCAACAGCTTCATCCACTACTAACATTCCAAGCATCTTTGTTCATAGACGTGCTACTGGTCCAATAGGGACATGGCTAACATTTGCCATAAACCACACAATATTCACATACAATAAGAGCACCATTGCAATTTTTCAACCATACTCAAAATATCTGAAACCTATTTGTGGTTAAATGTATAACTATGGAGAATTATGTGCATCTTATATTTAGATTTTAATGTTACCAGACCTTGGAGATAAAAAATAGGAAATACAGAGAATTTAATGTGTGTTATTTGTTATTTTTCCAAACTGAAAATATATATATTTTTTTACAATATTTGATTCGCTTTTTTAGCAAAATAATACAATACAAAATAATAAAAACAAAATCAAAATAATTTGTGAGGGTAGTGCTTATGAAAGCTTCCCATCTATGATAAAATGCCTCGGATCTCACGTCTGGCTGAAGTTCTGCCTCCAGTCGTTCATGCTGGAAGAGCACAGTTAATTCCCTCACCGCTTCCTGCACAGTTGGAGGAGTATTTGCGTTCCATTTACGCATCACGCAACGCCTAGCCGCTAGATGTATCCAGTCCCTACCCTTTTGCCCTGTTCGCATTGTATCCTCTCCCTGGGGTGCACTAAAAACATAGAGGAGGAGTTCAAAAGGGGGGGGGTCCATTTTGTAACATCCGGAATGAAGAGGCCAGTGCCTGCCAGAACTTGCATATTGCACCACAATTCCATAAGCAGTGTGCCAGTGATGGTCGGATATCACCACATTTTGGACATTGTAATGTCAAAGTTTCTGAGGAAGGATTCTGCGGCTTGAAATACAGGACATATGCCCTGTTTGGAATTGGGTCCCCCTCCAGACTTCATTGATCACTATATTTTTAATCTTGATGTATCCTCGTAGTTAGTTATCAACTATGTCAGTAGCCGGAAAATCTTTTGCCCAATTCTTGACATTAGAGGTGTGTAAAGGTCGCACATACAACGCCTGAAGGCGGGGATACAGTTCTGAGACAGAGTAGGCATTATCTTTCAGCATGATGTCTAAGAAGGATACCCCAAGAAAATTCCTAGGGTCTCGCGAGGTGCTCTGCCACGTTTTGGTGGCCTGAAATACAAGAAATGTGTGTACGGTATTTTAAAATCCCTAACTGGTTCCCAGAAGGTTACAGGTATCATTGAAGGTCCTGTGAACAATTGAGCCCACTGAAAATAATTTGAATTGTCCAAAGGAATGATTGCAAGGATCGTCTGAATGTAGGTTTTCTTCTATTTGTTTTGTTATTGTAAATTCAATTTGCAAAGATTGACTTTTGGATTTTCATATGTTAAAATACTGATAACTTTTGGCTATTGTAAACTTAAAAGTTGTATTTTGTATTTATTGAGGGGAGCAGAAAACACAAGGATTGGGGTCCAAAACTATACTGTATACCCTTCATGGGCCAAAATACTGATTATTAAAACAAAAAAAAGGAATATTACATTCAGTGGTTAAAAAAACTATGTAAACTATTTACATAACAAAGTGCATGTGTTTTCAAATGCACTGGTATGAACTGACCCTGGTGACTCTCTTTCAGCAAGCATAACTTTGTATTATGAATAATGCGGTATGAGTAAAAGAAGTTTAACAATCTTTGCTTGAGCAAAATAAATTCTAGCATACAGCAATTCAGTGTCAGTCATTTTCTAGATATCTCCATTCTGCAACTGCTTGTTGCTAAAGGTCATGGGTGACGACTCACCGGAGAAGGTCAAAGGGGAGGATTTTCTAAATTAGACTGCTTTAATAAGTGCAAATATTTACTTCACTTTTAATGCAGTACTTATACATACAAGCAATTTTTTGGTCTAAATGAGTGTACATTTGTCCACCAGCAGGCGCATGTGTATTACAGCCTTACGCCCAGGAGCCCAGACATTGCCTTTCTTGTTCACACCATGTCTGGATCATGTCCATACCAGAACAGTTTGTTCCCGGACCAAAAAACCAAATCCCAATATATCCCTATGGTATGTCTCGGATCTGTTCACACCAGTGCGGTCTGTTCCGGTCCAGACAAAAACAAAAATACTGCTTGTCTCATTTTCTCTGGTCTGGAATGCACTGGAACACATGGAACACATAACAAAATGCACTGGACTGCACCTCTAAGCCCATTTTAATCTTCTAAAAACAAAAAAGCAGTAAAATTGCAGCAAAACGCAGTGCACTTGCAGATCTGCTCCGGACATGGTGTAAACATAGCCTAAAAGGCAGCTGAAGTCTTCCAGAGTGTCCATGACTATCAGTAGTTAATACAAGAGAGGAAGAAGCTATAGTTTACAAGACCATATTGTATTGCAAGTGCAGAACACTGCAGTTTTCTAATTAAGCTGCTTTATTTATGAGGTTCATACAGGCTGTACACATTAAAGAGAAAAAAATAAGATGCAAGCAGCTATGATGCGCATACAAAGTGCAAACCCCAGTTTTTTTTTTATAGTATCATTATCTGATATGCAGTGTGCTGTGTGTGAATTACAGCTTCTGGCAGTGTTCTGTAAGTTTTTTTATAAATCATAAATGTGGCCAAGCTGAGGTGACACACCTTATGGTGTTGAGCTACTGCTGTTTGGGGAGGAGGAAATTGTTGGGGATCCTAGGGGGCGTGTAGTGTTTGGTAGTATAGAATGGGCATATAGGAGTTCCAGATAATGGTCTGCCCATGTGCGCATTTTCGTGCCGCACGGAAAACCGTGCTGAATTTCAAAACCGCTATGTGTGAATGGAACCTTACTTGGGTTATGGTTAACATTTCTACATGCTTATCTTTCTTTGAAATGTTAGGAGAGGCTGCAAGGCGTCTGAGGTGGTTTGTTTATTGTATATTGATTAAGTGAAAAGGAGACACAATCCTCAAAATTCAGCCCTGAGCTTTTCCATTAGGACAGATCATCGTGAAGGTGAAGAGGGGAAAAACCTGGAATCTGCCATCTTGCCTGCTTTAACAAAACAATCGACAAAAGGTAAGATTATATATATATATGTATATATAGTATTTTCTTTATGCTGTGTGAAGAGGATCACAAACATATAGAGGGGTGTAATATTCTAATAATAATTTTTTTCTTTTGCCGACAATCCCAACTACAGAGATGCAAGACTATAAAGGCGTACAAGAGTGTGAGACTTTACTTGGCTTTTAAAGCTAAACAGGCATACTGGTTGAATTACATATATGGGAACTGTTTTAACCAATGTTTGTATTTCTGTATATTAATTTCCTTCCTTTGACCCTCTACAGAGATGCAGGACTCAGCAGTGATGGAGGAGGTTGGAGTCTTCGCTCGGCAAGGGGCACAGACATACACCAGTCTCACTATCAAAAGTTTAAAGCCTAAAGCTGGCCATACACCTATAGATTCAGCCTATGGTCAGATGGTCGACTAGCAAGATACTGAAGCTTGGCCCACTGGGGGATTCCTCCATCCACAGTTTAGCGTACATGGAGGAATCTCTTGCACTTTTTCCTGACCATAGGCTGAAAGAAAAAAAAAATAAAAATCTATAGGTGTTTGGCCAGCTTTAGTTTACTTTTCTGACCAGGTTTCATGTTACACCCATATTGAGGGTGTAAAAGGTGGTCATACACTGTTCAAATTTCACTAGTTTTCTGAGGAACTGGACAAAATTTGCACAATGTGTGCCACTGTCAGCACACCCTTTCGATCAGCTGATCGAAGGAGCCAGTTGGAAAATCTTTGATCAATCAAATCTGGCAGCCAATGAGGTGCCTGCTCTGGTCGGGTATTCTGACAGGTGCCAGTGTAAACAGCGGGATTCCTCGGTCGACACGCTGTTTGTGTTGGAGGAATCAGGTCTATTTTTTTCATTCAAACCACGGGTTGAACGAAAAAAATAGATCAGTGTATGGCCAGCTTAACCTGAAACTTGGTTAGATCACAACCCCACCCCCACTTATCTGAATTGCAGCATTTTTCTCTCCTGGGTCTCTGTAAGCCACGATATATACTTACATGGGCCACCAATATATCATTGTAATATATACTTGCAGTACGTGCAGTACCCAAAAAACAATCTTCTCTCTTTCTGTAAGCTGAAATCTATGTTTGCTTGCTGCAGGTTAACAGTACTGTATTATTGAATATGACTGTTGGTATGCCACATCTATACATGGCCTGTGAGGTTAGAAATAAAGCTGCCATTGCGGATGTTTTTAAATGTAAACACTCAGGGGCCGTCTTTGTCCTTCATTACTTAGCCAATTACTTTCACAGAACAAGTATTTGCATTGTATCCCAAAACGTCATTGGCTTCCATGTTTGTACTGCACCAGTCATGCCAGGATGACATTCTTGGACCTTACATTTTCAAAAACAAGACAGTACCGGCAGTAAACATATTTATGTTTGGTACATCATGCCAACGTGTAGGAGAGGAAACCAGGAAAGTGAATTGCTGAGATACAGCAGCTTCGTTGTATTTAACATGTAATTTTCCAATAAGTGGTTATGAAGCAAAAGATTTTCCAGTGTTCTTTTATGTATGAATCTGTAATTTGGACCCTGATTTAATGGTTAGAAGTACAACCTGAATCTGGCTAAATATGGTTGTTGGGTTCCAAGCCTTGGAACCAAATATTTTATTTAAGGGGCATGATGGAATAATCTGGATATTACATCTTACCCCATTCCATTTTTCAATGCTTAGACATGAATGACCTGGTTCAAGCTTGAATGTAACCATATTGACTATTAGTGTTTTAGATATGCAGACGTTTATTTTGTATACATCCACAAATATGTGAACAAAACCGCAACACTCCAGCTCACAAAAGTACTTTATTTTTATTGTAAAAAATATTTAACAAAAAATGTGTTCCACCCCCATTCACATTTCCCCTTTGTTGTCTTCTGTAAACACTTTATCGACCAAGAAAGAAGAAGCAATGGCAGGTCAAAGTTCATCATGAGTTATATGTACAGTGTTGTCACAGAGATCTAAATGCAGGAAAAAAAGGGAAATTACAAACAATAAATATAGAAAAAATACCATACAAGTACATCCAAAGCCAAAATGTTTTTTCCCCCCATTCTGGATAAAGTGGTGGCGGGAAGTTAGACACAGGCAGCAATAAAAACCTGACAGTGGTTCTATGTCGGGAGATTCAGCCTCTATTTGTCCTAGTGACCATTGATACCGGCACCAAACAGAAGAGTAATTCCAAAATTGTATGCAGTCTGAAGCATACTGAATTTTTATCAAGATCAACAGGTGGTATTTGCAGCTTAAAAGCTAATGCAGCCACCACATCTATAGACAGGTATGCTACTACATATTACATTTTTGGTCTTAGGCTTTATATATGTGTACCTATCTTCATATCAATGTGCAAGTGCACATGTGCAGACAGGAAACACGCTGACAGGAAGATGGAACAGAACTATTCCGCCTAAATTAACCCATTCATGAAAGGACATACATTTGCTGTTCATAGTTACATAGTATTTGAGGTTGAATAAAGACATTAGTCCATCAAGTCCAACCTATTAGGATCTCATTCTAGGAGTACCCGTACCCCTGTATATTACGGTCCCTTAAGAAATCGTCCAAAAGTTTCTTGAACAATTCCACATTATTTGCTGAAATCACCGCCTGTGGCAGTGAGTTCCAGACCCTAACTGATCTTACTGTGAAGAACCCCCTTCGCCCCTTGTGCTGGAATTTTTTTTCCATCAATTTTAGGTGATGGCCTCTAGTTTTTGTAACGGAGTTAATTTTAAACAGTTTATCGCTAATGTTGCTACCACCATTAAACATTTTGTACATGGAAATCATATCCCCCCTTAATCTCCTCACCTCTAATGTGAACATGTTTAAATTTAGTAGCCTCGTCTCGTAGCTCTGGTCCTCCATACCCCTAATTAGTTTGGTTGCCCTTCGCTGGACTTTTTCCAACTCAAGGACATCTTTTCTTAGTACTGGTGACCAGAACTGGACCGCGTACTCCAGATGAGGTCGAACCAATGATCTATAAAGTGGCAAAATTATAGACTTGTCCCTGCAATACATCCCCTTTTTAATACAGGACAAGACCCTGCTAGCTTTGTTTACAGCAGCCTGGCACTGCAAACTACCTTTCAGTTTGTGGTCTACAATGACCCCCAAATCCTTCTCCATTTCTGACTTCCCCAGCGGCATACCCATAATTGTATAACCCATTTGTTTATTTTTAATTCCAAAGTGCATTACTTTGCATTTATCGACATTAAACCTCATCTGCCACATTAATGCCCACTCCCCTATTTTATCCAGGTCCTCCTGTAATGTTATAGTGTCTAAGTCCGTGTCTATTACCCTCCCTATTTTGGTGTCATCCGCAAACACGGAAATATCGCTGTTAACACCCTCCCCGATGTCATTAATAAATAAGTTGAACAATATGGGACCCAGCACAGAACCCTGAGGCACACCGCTCATTACACTAGCCCAGTCTGAAAAGGTGCCATTTACAGTTCCTGTTTAACTTTAGTCTCATTGGGTTTTTATTAAATCTCAGGTTCTAGAAATCATTGTTTGAGGGACACAGGATTCTGACACAATCGCATTATACTGCCACCTACAGGATGATTTGGATATTGGCAAACAGATAGTAACCAGCCTAGTATAAACCCTTCCCACTCCCAGCAGGTCTCGGCTTTGTAGAAAAGCAATACTAGAAAGCAAAATCAGACAGAGAGGAGTGGGACCCGTTTCCCTCAATGAACTCCAAGAAATGGATTGTATGGTAAAAGAAATCCAATCTTCTCATTTTCATTGAGGGACACAGGTTTTAGAGAGAACTGGGACGTCCAAAAGCAGTCCAACTACAAAACACTTACAGACCCACACAACAACAGAACTTGGCACGGTCTACAGTTCAAAGAGTCATCTAAAAGGATCTTACACCAGAAGCTGGCAGCAGATGAAGCCTAAACATTCACGTAAAACTTTGAGAACGCGTGAACCAAGTGGTTGCCTTGCAGATCTGGCAAACAATAGCCTGATGCTAAAAAAAAAAACATAAAGCACTCAAGGGTAGAACTGTAACCTTAGGGCTGGTTCACACCACAAGCTCCGCGTTCCAGTGCGTCAGCCTCTGGAATGCAAGCCGGCCGGCTCCCTACATTCAAGGGCGGGAGGGGACGTGCCGCGCCCCCCCGTCCGCAGTACGATTGCCCGGAACGCAGGCACATTAGTGTCTGTGTTCCGGTCCAGTGCGATCTGCAAAAATAGTGCTTGCAGTATTATATTCACAATTGAAAAAATTTGACTTTCAATAAAAAGTACAGTGTACCTACTGTGAAACATGGAGGCTCATTCATGTTTTTGGGCTGCTTTTCTGCTTCTTCTCCACCAGAATAATGACCCAAAGCACACAACTAAATGCACCCAAGAATGGCTGAGAATAAAACAGACTATTCTGAAGTGGCCTTCCATGAGCCCTGAACTGAATCCTATAGAAAACAAGCAGTCTGCAGAAGGCACCCCTCGAACCTTAGACAGTTGGAGCAGTTTGGTCAAGAAGAGTGGGCCAAAACTACCTGTTGGTAGGTGCAGAAGTCTTATTGAGAGCTACAGAAATCACTTGTTTGCAATCATTGTCCCCAACAGTTGTGCAACAAAACATTACATTAAGGGTTCAATCATGGTGTCCAGCATTGTAAGCACAACCAAATTGTTCGGAGCTCCAGAATACTGATCGGAAGAGGGGATTGCTTTGGTGTCCAAGCCCCCTGCACCGACAGGGTGTATAGGACTCCTCCCCTGTCTGTCAGGCTAGCATCCGTTGTGGGGAGAGATTGGAAAGGTGAGAAACAATCTGACCCTCGGTGTCAGGTGAATTGGTTTGCCCAGAGATTGAACCAAGTAATCCTGACACTGAACAGACTTGTCCCACGATGACAGGATGTTGAGTTTTCAAGCGGGACTAAGCAAATGAGATTGGCTTGAATAAGGGTCTACCATGAGCCCCGTTACTCTTGTGCAGAAGCAAAGTGTCAGGCAACTCCAGCACTAAAAAGTTCTGATCTGGGAGTGGAGAGTTATAGGTTCCTCTCTAGGTAGAAATACTCTGCCTTGAACTGTGTCTACAATAAGTATCAGATACTCCATGCAATTAAATGACTCAAAACAATGTAAGAGTCAGGATCCAAATAATAATTTCAAAGTCAAAATTGTCCACTACATTGTTGTCCAGAACCCATGCCTACTTCTTACTCAACAGGAGGTCATCCAGATGTTCCACTATGGGCATAACCTGGGAGCATAGCAAGGCTAGTACAAGGGGTCAGAACCTTGGTGGACACTCGAGAAGCATAGGACAAGTTGAATGGCAGGGCTACAAACTGGAATTGCTGGAGATCAACAGCAAAGTGAAGAATTAATTGGTGTGCTGGACAAATGAGGATGTGTAAGAATGCGTGCTTGATATCCGAAAATGCAAGGACTGCATGGAGATCTGCTAATTTGTGTGGTGAAAACAGGTATGTTGGAAGACATGAACCGGGGAGGCAGGAGAGAGTCTAATTCTAGCTTGCACCTCCTGGAAACCACCTAGCATACCCAGGCATCTAAAATCTCGTCTAAGGGTCTGCAAAGGATAATAGACATCCCCAAACTTTTGAAAGTGCCTTTGTTATTGGTCCATAAGCTGGAAGTGCCCATTACAGCAGGACTGCTCCCTGTATGTCTGGGATTCTGACATCTGTGACACTAAACTCAGGAGTTAAATCTTAAAAATACATTCAAGTACCCTAACTATTTACAAAAATGTCGCTTTTTTTGTGTAGCACTCAGCTTTAGATCCTCAAATCATCTCTGAATTGGTGATGACACTGTCCTTCCTTTTGCAGGGTGGCTACTTTTGTTCCCCATGGTCCCTGTGTGTGTTATAAATTAGCGAACCCTCCAAGCTCACTCCTGTGATGGACTACAATCTCAATACAAATTAGTAAACTAAACGTGAGATTGTAGTCCATCACCTGAGTGAGCTTGGAGCGGTGGATACTTTACAACACAAACATTTTGCCATTGGCATGCCAACCACACTGAGCACTGCTGGGGCATGTTAAGTACATAGAATTCTCTGCCAGGTGCTGTATATGCTACACACACTGAGCACTCTGCCAGGGACTCGCTGTGTACATGCCACACCCTGACAGAACCAAATGTAAAATATTTATGTGCCATGACATTTTGACAGGAGTCCTCCTATACAAATGTGTGCTTACTGAACCATCTTAAACATTCAAATAAAAAAAAAAAATGAAATATTCAAATGCAGAGAGAGACCTCCATTGCTCCTTCCACATCACAATTCTACTGCTTGGGTTTGTTGCAGGTGCTGGCCAGAGAGCCGTCCATACACCACAGCAAATGCAATCCAAAGAAACAGCCGCACAATGCCAATCTTCACCCAGCACTTCTTCATATGTATCTCTCTATGACTAAGCCCGATTGGGTGAAAAGTGTAAGAGGTGAGTGCCCAACAGGCGGGGATCATAAGTATGGAGCTGACTGGACTTTACAAATAAAAAAGTGTGTGGCTGTTTCTTTAGATTGCAAAAACTCTAAATATTCACTTTGAACCGAATCTAAAAATATATA